GAAGTTAAGTCCACATTTGAATCGGGAAAATTTGTACTTTCTCGAAATGGTGAATTTGTTGAAAAGGGTTATTCTAGTGATGAAATGGTCAAACTTTGTAGTATTGACAATAATATCAATAAAACTACAAATTTAAATTATGTTGTTGAGTTTATTTTTTATGGCATGATAAACTAGGACATATTGATTTTTTCTACTTTAAAAAATAATTAAAACCGGAATGATTTCATGTGAAAATATAGAATATAATAAATGTGAATTATGTATTAAGTCTAAAACAATTAAGAAACATTTTTATAATGTTGAAATGAAATCTAAATTGCTAAACTTACTTTATTCCGATAATATGTGAATTAAATGGAATGTTAACCAGATGAGGTAATAGATATTTTATAACTTTCATAGATGATCATTCTAAGTAGAAAATTAATTAAATAAAAATATTAAAATCCTCAGAAGTGATAGGGGAGGTGAATATTTCTCTAATGAATTTAATCATTTTTATGAACAACATGGGATAATACATCAATGTAGTGAACCAGAACACCAGAACAAACTGGTTTGACCGATAGAAAGAACGACACTAGTTGAAATGATAAATACTATGTTATTAAATGCAAAGTTGTCATCTAACTAATGGGGTAAAGCTTTATTAAGTGCGTATCACATAGTTAATATGATTTCTTCTAAAAGATTTAAAGTTTCTCCATGTGGATTTTGGAAATGGAGAAAATTGAACATTGGTAATTTCAAAGTGTGGGGATGTCTTGCTTGTAGTAAGAACATGGATCCTAAAAGGACTAAGTTGAGTCCTAAATGGATCCAATGCGCTTTTGTAGGATGTCTAAAATAACAAGGCTTATCGTTTATTAAACTTGGAAACCAATGTTATTATTGAATCTCGTGAAGTAAAGTTCTTTGAGAATATATTATCTTCATATAATAATTCTCTAAGATAATCTCAAGTGGACATTCCTAATCCTACAAGATCACAAATAGAAACATCATTCGATGATGTTGAAAGAAGTGATCTTCGAAGAAGCAAAAGAGCTCGAAAGGAGAAAGTGCTAGGATCGGATGAATTAGACTCTCAACTTACTTCTTTGGACTCTCAACTTGCTTCTTTATATTTAGTTGAGGGAAATGAGAAAAGTGTCACAAGAACTACTCCGTATGTTCTCCAGGTGGAAATCGATCCTAAAACTTATCAAGAAACAATGTCATCTAGAGATAGTATATTTTGAAAGGATGTTGTAAATGATGGAAAATGATTCAATAATGTCAAACAACACTTTGAAATTAGTCGATTTACCACCTTGATCAAAACCTACGAGTTTCAAATGGGTATTTAGTAGAAAATACAATGCGGGCGGAACTCTTAATACTTTTAAACTTAGGTTAGTGGTTAAAAGATATCGAAAAAAAAAAAAAAGGAATAGATTACTTTGACACGTAT